CATTTCGAGGCGCCCGAGACCCACGTACGCCACATGTGGAAGTAATGGCGCGAAAATTACTAACCTGAGAACGGGAAAAGCTAGAAAGCTGGAACTTTAGAGGATTGTTTCCTACTCGCGTACGACCAAAATCAGGTGTTTAAAAACCTCGAGGCCCACGTGCGGGCACGTGGAAATTTTGGTGCGAAAATCGCTAACCCAGAAACGAAAAAAGCTAGATAACTGAAACTTTTGGGTGATGTTCCCTACTCATGTATGACCAAAAGATTTCAAATTCAGCTTCTTTAAGAAATTTTCACGTGTCCGTACTTGAGTATCGTCTGGTACTCGAGTACGGACACGTGAAAATTTTGAGGAAAACTGCCAACGCGGGAGGGAATGTTCCCTACGCCTGTGTGATTAAAAGATTTTAAATTTAACTCTTCTAATGCGGTCTTTTTTGCGGACCAGTAACTTTCCATTTATCGGGTCACTGAAGTCGGCGTCTACAACTGACGTACCACATAGCTGCATAATTAACCTTCCGAACTTCGAAGGGCAGTGGGTCACAGGGTTAGCTAAAGTGATTTTTTGCGAACTTGCTACGGCACGAAAAGTGCAAAAACGCATGATCGCACCGGCCCGCCTGGTGCTTTCCAGCCTGGGTTTGCATGAAGCCCGTTCGTTTTTTCGAGAAATGCTCGCTTTTTGAAAAAATGAAAAATGCAAATTTTTCGAAAAAATGCAAACTTCTGGTTCACCAAAATGTCGCTAAAGCGGCCGTTTGCCAAGTAATCCAAGTATGCAAATGAACTGAATGTTCATTTACATATTTGGATGAGGGCGGTTGTCCGCTGCAAAACTCACTTGTTTTTGATTTTTCGGTGAAGTTGAGTATTTCTCACGCTCATCTGCAGGGGATTTCACTTACACTTGAAGGTAGAATATCCCAGCGAATTTTCAGCCTCGCACCCTATCGGTAAGCGAACATCCACTTCGCTATAAATATCCTTGAAGTGCCCTAAGTCGCGGCGTAAGTGCAAATCGCAACTCATTTTAAGTATACGATTTTCCACATGGGAGACGAACATGCTGACAAAATTTCATTTACTGTTTTCCGACAAGTTTTCGAGTTAGCACAGTACCAAGTTGCAAACTTTGACCTGATCGTACGCGCTTCACAAGCGTGCGCGACAGCTGAATTAGAAATCTTTAGCTTGCACATGCACAGAGAATATTTCTGCAAAGTTTCGGCTTTGTATCTTACCTGGTTCGCAAAATCGTTTCCCGCTAAAGAAACTTGCATATTTTTCGAGAATCCGTACGCAGGGTATTAGTGCGTGCGGGAGATCTTAAAACAGAAGGATGTCACACGGGACAAGAACATGTACCCAAAATTTCAGCCTCCCAGCTTTCTTGGTTA